GGGACCGGGACCGGCCGCGCCGCCGCCGCCTCCCTCAGCCGCGCGGCTGCGGCTGCCATGGAAATCACAACCACGCCCTGATTGGTCGCGGGCCTCGATGTGTCGCGGGACGCGGTTGGGCCGGCGCTGAAGATTGACAGCCGAGGGGGCGGGTCCAGGGGGGCGTTAACCCCTGCTGGCGCGGCGGGAAACATCTGGAGCGCACAGCTGGGGCGGGCGGGCGCCACGTGAGCATCTGGAGGAGCCCACGTGCACCAACGGCCGGACAGCTGTGCCAGACAGATGTTGGTAGCTGGGAACAGCTGGATTCTGTCACAGCTCACTCCACCGAACCGCAACCGGCGTCACGAAAAAAGAAAGGTAAAGGCTGGAACGGAGTGTTCCGAGGAGACTCTACCTAATGTCACCCGTTGGCTTCGGTTCCCAAGGTCAGTCTTGCAGCCGAAACCATCTGAAACAGATAGTCCTGGTTCTAAGTGCTGCAGCTGTCTGATAAATTGAGAAAAGCGGCAGTCAGACACTTCAATAGACGTGAGGCGCTGACAGCGCAGGACAGCAGCGAGCACCACCTGGCTCAGAGCTCAGGTGGTCCCACACCTGTTTTGCGGCAGCGGGGAAGCACAAGCCATGTGCTCACCAGGTGTGCAAACATCTGGAATAGCACCAGGCTGGAGCATAGGCTCGAGCCCAAGCCGGCTGCCTGCACATCTCACAACTCCTCTGACCCACGGCTGGGTGAAGCAGCCAGGCAAGGAACGAGAGATCACCAGCACTTTGCTCCTGGAAGTGTAGCTGTATGAGGTGACTCGCATCGATAAATCAATTCACGTCTAACAAAGACTGGCCTTAGGCCATCCTAACCCCTTCCTTCTCAGTGCTTTATGCAGAAAGACAGCTTTTATACCTAAAGAGCAGGAAAACAGGTTGACTTCGACTTGTTAACATTAACATAGCGATATGTAAAGGCTGAATCAAACTGTAAACATATTTCTTCTTCAAATACGGCAGCTCTGGCCCAGCCGCCATCACCCCGTGGAAAAATCAGTGCTGCCTCAGGGTCACATCAAAGGGAACAATCCCCTAAAACGTTCCCCAGATTTGTGTTGCTTGCCAAATGGGGAAGAAAAAAAGTCAGCTAAAGGGATTTAACATGATGCCAGCCCAAAATAGTCTGGGAAAAGCTGCCTCTGCAATGAGCAGTGGCAATCAGCACTCATCCCTGCTCATCCCCAGCAGATGTTTGTGCCCTTTGCCCTCTGCCTCCCAAACCCTCCTGCAGCTGGGGCATCCCCTCTGCCGCCACTGCAGCGCAGCACGGGGCTGGCAGCTAATGAGAGCCACCACTGCCTGGGTGCCACTGGACTCGGCAAGGGGCTGGCTGGGGACACCGAGGCAGGGAGACAGCACCAGCAGCGAGACCTTGGTATAAAAAGGATGAAAACCACCATGTGGAAGAACATTCCCCTTTTAATCCTGAAAGCCCTAAAATCAGGTCTGACTCACTCCCAGAGAGACGGTACAAATCCTGCGTGGCTGTGAAGATAACCAGCTGGGCTTTGCCGTCATCCCAGCCTCACGAGATGCGGAGCGACGGTGCCTGAGCTGACAGCGGTACCGTCAGGATGAAAGAATTAATCACAGCCCATTACCTCGTGTCTCACAGCCCTTGCAAAGCGCCTATCATAAAACTTTTACAAGCCTGTCAGGACGCGGTTTCCACTGATACTGAAGATCCAACGCTTGCTGCCGGCGCTGCCTGGAGAGCCAGTGCAGATAGACGAGTCTTTGCTCGGCCTGTTGCTTCACCGCGGTGACAGAGAAGCATCGCTGCTGAGAGGCCTGAATGCGGGGTGGCTCATGGGTGTTTTATTTGTTATGAAAATTAAATGAAGGCAGCCATGTGAACATGCATGATCAGTATTTTCAGATCAGGAAGAGCTCTGCCCTGTAAAGACTGAGATTTTAAGAGTAACTAACGCCTGTAGGGCTTTCAAACACGCTCAGGGAGCTGCTGGGAGCGTAGAGAAACCAGAAACTCCTTTTGGGTGGTAAAATTGTTTTCAAATTTCTTCTCTCTGACAGCTATTGACAGGGAATAAATGTCATTTGCTCCCAAATGCAGCTGGATTTGAACTAATGATTTAAAGTGTATCCTGTTTCCAGTAAGTTTGCCTCAATCCATTAAACAGCACTTTTCAGATTGCTTTATTGGTTTTTCTTTTATGGCTTTAACCATGACTCACACAGATAGTCCCCTTTTAAAGGCTTCCAATCTGTGGCAATCAAACAGTGCCTCCAGGGCAGAAAAAAATGTTGTTCTTCAAGGGAAAGGGGGAAAGCAGGAGCTGCTGTACAAAGCAGACAGAGCTACTGTACACAGCAGGTGCCCCATGCTGGGCCCTTCTTTAATCAGTGCTTGTCCCGGAGCCACGGATCAAATAACCCATCAAATATTGCATCACGCAGTCTGGGTACAGACAGAGCTTAACTCTCAGCCGTTAAGTTGCTGTTGCTGGTGGATAAACACTACAAGAAGCAACAGCACTTAATGGCTCATCATTTGACAGCTGCATTGGCTGTTCCTTGTTGGCTTGTTCCTGCTTTGCTCCTTGCAGCTCAGAAATAAAGCCCCTGGCCGGGGGCTCAGCCACACACACGGGCTGGTGGATGAGCCCAGGACCAAAGCTGCAGCTCGGGGTGTGTGGGGAGCAGGGCTGGTACTGCAGGGCCACAGCTCAGGGTTGGCTGAGCTCCACGAGAAATAGAAGCGGGTCCCGGTGACAGTGTCCGCTTTGTGCCCAGTTTTCCCTAGGCGGTGGCATGGCTTACGGTTGTTCCCATGCTTTAATTTCTAACAGTGCCACACTGCGCATCTGGGACTGCTGGTGGGAGGAGGGAGGAAGAGCAGCCCTGAGTCCTGAAAGCTGGTGCTATTTAGGACACTGTATTAAACTTTTTTTTTTTTTTTTCCATGTTATTTCCGAATGTGAGCCACAACATAAATCAAAGCTTTTCTCTGAATCACTGCTATGGCAGAGAACAGCTGGACATCATCGCCTGGAGGGACTGAGCCTGGTGGCTGCATCTGCCCTCCCTTCATGCCAGCTCCAGCAGCAGTGACAGACTGTGCTGCCTTACACTCATACCAACGCCTGCCCGGTGAGCAGCATCTTTCCTACCACATCATACAAGTTGCTGGGCCAGAACACGAGGGAGTGAAGTCCCCAGCAGCACTGCCCTGACCTCTAACTGGAGGCCTGGCACATTCAGAGACAAAATCAGATCTTTTTTCTTCCCTCCCTGAACTTTCAATGCAACGCTTTTCAACTCCACTCCAAAAGTAGTGCTGAATACAATTTGACTGTCATCGACAGTTGCTAGTCCAGATATCCTGGCCCTCATCCAGGAGCATTTTACCTTAATTCCACCTTCCCAATCCTAAAAATGCAAAGAATTTCCCTCTGGCTCTGCCCAGCTCATTCCCTGGTCCAGAGCAAAGAGAGCTGAATTTGCAGGCTTAGACACGTTCTTGCCAGAACTGTTAAATATTATTCGTTTTCCTCGAATGCCTCAGCAGCAATTGCACAACCCGGCTTTTCGCTGGCTGTCTTGCTCAGGGAGGATCTCTCCTTCGCTGAGAAACAGATGGAGGAGGTGTGGTGCTTGTGGCTTTCATTCTCATGCTCACTAAAGGCGGTTTTGAAAGCCAGGGGGGTGAGAGGCTCAGCTGTTGCTTCTGCCTCAAAAAAAAAAAAATCTCCTTGTTACCTCTGTTATAGAAGGATATATATGAATAGATCCATTACAGAAGGAACAGAGGGAACAGAGGAATTTGGAGGAGGATACTGATACGATAAAGCACAAAGAAACTCGGTTGGATTTCAGCTTGTGCTGTGCGCCTGGGAAATTCATTTGGCCTTTAGGTAGAAGTAATCCAGAAATCCCAAGCCCCACGTGTGCCTGTGCTGTCTCGAAGCCCAGAGCACAGCTGGGCATCCTTCCTCCCCCAAGCAACCTCGCTTAAGTGCTTAGTTGGCTCTGTGTCAAAGACGTGCTTAAGTCAATCCTGTTATCTCTGCCTTTATGAATACGAACAAACTGCCCTCTAACTAGAGGAAAAAAGGATGGACTTAACACTTTACTGACAAACTGCTGGCAGTTAAACCAGCACAGACTTCAAGCCCTCGGTGGGTGCCTTGGCCAGGGGAGGACCATGGGGCAGCACCTCTCTCCACATCCTGGCCTCTGTAATGACCTAAATTTATCTTGAGCTGAGGGGTATTGTAGACCCCAGAAGCAGGGGCAGGGGGCAGGAATACCCCGCTCCTGGCTGCACATCACGACACGATGGGGAGTAATGGGGGCAGCTGGCCCCCAGCACCACAGGTGGATCCCAGCGGTGTCTGTAAGTGCAGACTGATCCAAAAAAAAACCCCAGCCTGGATGTTCAGGGAAGACTTACAGTCCCCAGAGGAGGAGAGCGTCCAAGGACTATGTTCAAAAGCCTCTGAGATAAGAGAAAACAGGCCCCACAAGACATGAAGCTGATGACATCCCTCTTCATCCCCTCACAGCAGAATGAGATGCTTCTGCTGAATAGATGTTTCTGCACCCAGAACCACACCTTGCACTTAACGCAGTCTGTCTTATGAGCAGAGCAAACCTGTCAGCTGCGAACCCAGTGAGGATGCTGTTTAACTTGGAAGGATGTTAATGTCTCTCTACGTTTCCCAGAGGCATGCTCATTTTTATTGCTTTTCTCTGCTACCGATATTA